TTTTTATTGTGTTAAAAAGATAAGATCAATAACATTGATAATGATCATAATTTCATGATTAAATAGATGTTCAACGCTTAAGTATCAGCTATTTCGAGAATTTATAAAATTACTACAACAGTGTTGCCCATTTTACATCAAATGATATAGCATGATAACATTATTTTTGAATTAAATAATGTTTAGTAAACTTAAGAATATAAACTGTAAATTGCTATATATTTTATCAACTACGATATCATAATTGATAAATTCCGCAAAAAAATTATTGAAATGGTAAATTTTGAAATAAACAGTTTTTGTACAATCTTGTCAAGAAGAATTAAAATAATTCAGAATAAATTTGTAAAGTATAACAGGATTTAAGGATTCTTTCTTAATTATCAAATAACGATAATTAATATCAAATATGCTCGATATGAATTAAATTCCTAAAATTCAAATTTTATCTTTGTGGAATGAACAATTTTTATTCACACCCTTAGTCATTTTAAATTAAGAAAAATTAAAAATATCGGAAGTTAAGGCACAGTATTAAATATAACTGAAGCAATTGCTTCACTACTGATAATCCTCCATTAAATATATTGAAAATTTTGACTGCCTCACAAATTACACCATATAAATGTAAGAGAATGTATCGTTAAATGTTAGCCAATAACATCAATGGATTACGCTAATTTCGCTTTTTCTCATATGATTGCAATGCAAATTATTCGGGCTTATACCGCCCTCTTTCTTATTTACTAAAATGATTGACAGACATTTATCCTTTTTGCGGATGTAATAAAAGGAAATTTTGGCATCGTTGAATTTCCGCCATTAATTGGGAAGTTTATCGATATATTCGAAAGAGATTAATTTCTATTGAAGTTATTGCTTTATCTCAGTTATTTTTTGAAATTAGCGAAGTAAACAAAGTAGTTGTATTTCTGAACTGAAAAATATTTTATTTTTAAACAGCTTAGATAGAAAATACTGATATGATATGCAAATGATTGTAATCACAAGAAAAACAGTAAAGAAATCAAATCAACTTTTCAGAATTTCAAATTTTTTTTTAATAAATAAAAACTTTGAATTAAAATTTGATTGTTAGTTGAAAAATTTTAAATTTTACATTGATGAAATGGCATCGCAAATTTAATTAGCGTTGATTATTTAATTAGAAACAGTTGGAAAATAAGGGAATAGGAAATAGAAAACCTGATTAAAATAGAAGGAAGAGTTTGCTTATGTGAAATCAATAATTTTAATTACAACTTTAATATATTCCAAAGTAATTACAATTGTTGAAAATAATGCATGGGATACTTGAGCATTAATTTCTCAGTTAACCAATTATTGCCGTAACTACAAATCATGAAATTTCATTCATGATCACAACAAAGTAGCAATGCTTAATTTTATTTTCAATAACAGGAAGGTCTTAGTCTTGAAATAAACAATAAGTAAAACTAACATCAAGTTTTCACGAAAAACGTATCTAATGAAGTTCAGGTAATGGAAAATATCTTGTTTGAAGAGCTGTCATTATTCTGCTTCATTTACAAGAAAAGAAAAAATTGAAAAAAGAGAAGTGAGACATAGTGTTGGCAAATTTCACTTATAATCGTTGACTTATAATAATTCCACCCTTTCTACCTATAATTTTTAAAGGTTGTAAATATGAAAGAATGAAATGAGATTGAAAAAGAGGTATAATTTTGAAGCTATTTTTAGGCTTTTTTCATATCAAAATTTATCTTTAAAAATAATTTTTTTTAAAAAAAATACGAAAGATAAAGTTTCCTGTAAGGATCATTTGGCAAATATCATATTTATGGCCAAAAGGTATCAAATTTCATAGAATATTTTATTTGTTTTATTATATTTATGATTAGCGTATTAGAAGAGCACATCTGCCTGAAATTTCAAATAAGTTGAATGGATGATGCGTTGGGACAAAAGCTTTAATGATATTCTTTTAATGAAATTTAAAATAAAATTTATTTGTAAGCTTTATGTCTAGTGGGATCGTAAGCTTTTATTAGAAAAATGGATGTGTTAGAGCTTTCAGTTTATTTATACTAATCATTAATTAATGAATATTGAAAAAATTATATATCCATATAACAACAATAGAAATTAGAATTACACTTCTACAGATTGCTTGATAAATTCAATTTTTGCATTTTTAAATTTAGTATTTACGTATTTCAATTGTATTGTTTCCCGCAGTATCTCGATGGATTATAAATCTCTATCGTAGTATTCGAAGAAGAAATTTCTTCTTGGTGTGATTTTTTACTTTGAATATATTGATTCCAAAGCTTTCTTTTTTCCCAAAAAATCTTCTAAGGTATATAAAGGATATGATCATTATCAATTGATCAAAAAGATAAGGAGCTGATAGAGCTGATCTTTTCTTTTCATAATGATAATCTTTGATCAGTTACAGTTACTTAATTAATGAATGATAAAACTTATAAAATATGAATGAAACAACAAATTTTAATAATTAGTGAAAAATTTCAAAATTATGCTTCTGAAATGTGAAATAATTAAAAGTTTTTGAGAAGTTATTTCAAAAAAACCCAATCTTTCTGCGAAAATTAGAAAATTTTTATAGATAAGTGAAATTAGATTTTAACAAATTGTTTGTCATAACAATTCAGCAAACTTTCGTTCACAGATTCTTTTTCCTATCTTCGCTTTTTTACGCTTCAAGTATTACGATACCATTCCATGATCAGAAACTGATAGATAGAAGCAATAAGAGTTGTTCTTTTTTCATAGTGATAATCTTCTGTAAGGATTAACCTCAAATTTTGTCTGAGTGATATTGCGATTAAAGGAATTATTTCTTACCATGAATATTAAGAGTTCGATTTCCATAGTTGTTTATTCGATCAATTTGTGATTTTGAAATAGAGAAGAAGATAAATATCCTGTTGAATTTCCTTTTAAATTTAGGAATAAATGAAGTTTGTCACATTTTGTCTATAACTACAACCCCTTCCTATACAATATATTCAGCAGAGCCAAATGGGATGAGTAAACCTCAATTATCAATTTATGATCATCCTAAGATACAATAACATCATGATAAGTGATAACTTGTTGACAACTTCCTTTTCATTAACCATGTTGAAACGATCCAGAGAGAAAGCTTAAGCGAATATTTATCAAATATTTATGGAGATCATGAAGTATCTGTGTTGTGATTCGATCGATACTCCATCTTAATTACAAGCATTCTTTCAATGATTAAGTCAGTGATTGAAGACTAAGTTAGTTCTCAACTGAGATAACAATTGGTATATAATTTAAAACAAATTTCGAAACATTAAAGTTATAAAAAATATAGTTCAAAATTGCTTAATAATTTCGCAATAAAGGCAGATTTCAGACTATTCCAATCTAATAATGCATCTGTAAACAAAACTGAAAATATTTAATCCTTAAAATTCTAAGATAATAAATGATCGTTCAGCTATTACTGATAAAGAGGTGGAGGTATCGCTTTCTTATTATTTCTTCTTCAAAACCATAGCATATATTCTTCTACAGCCTTTTGATTTAAACCCTATTTGTTCACTCATTCAAAAGAGAATACGGTTACTTGGGAAATAGAACGAAATAGCTAAAGTAATTAATATAAATAATAGAAGTATTTCGACTAAGATCAAAGAGCAAAATTAAGAATTCCACTTTCTGTAATTGCGACAGCATCAATGCCGTTATATTATTACCTTGAAGCGCTTCTGATGGTCCGGCAGAAAACATTTTTTAAAAGATTTCCGGATATTTTCCAGTTTTTTAAGTGGAATCCATTTATAGTAATTAAAGCGAACCTTAAGATTTCATAAATTGAGAAGATTAATACAAATGTAGAACACATTTGCTAATATTTCTTACATGTTATTGAAAAATTTATTCCGTTTTTTTTCATTTTTTGTTATTTAAATCTTTACGTTGTGTGTTATAAAATATGTTTTTCGATTTCGATTCTGTACATTTTGAAAATATATTTTATAAAAGGATCGGATTATCATTGAAATAAATTTCTTTACTGCAATAACGGATTAGTTGAATGAGAAGATGTCGAGCCAATCTTTTGCAACAGTAAAAAGAAAAAATTGATCAGTAGAAATCAGCGATTCTAGTTCATTCCAATCACAGAATTATTCAGTCAATATATCACATCTATTATCTGAAAAAAGTAAACTTATCAAGCAACCTGCTGACTTTTACTAAGATCATTAAAACTAGTATAATTATTTAAGTTTTAGTCATATGGTGACATGTCCAATATAGCCAATATTAGACTAACGAAAAAAAGAGAGCCGTAATATCGGCTAATTTAGTTATTTCTATTGAATTGATTTTGATTATTGCAATTCATTGTTCTTCACAATTAAAAAAGAATAAAACTAAAACTGCATGATGGAATCACGTGGATAATATACAAATTGCTGTATTTTACACATTTTTTTTCATATGACGTTAGCAACATCTTTACAGACAAATAATTATCTCCAACAATAATTAACAAGTACATGTTAAATGTTTGAATTTCGCTTCATTCGGATTAAACGTCCAATGATAAAGACATTACCGCTGCACTAACAAACTTTCCATATTAAACTTTAAAAATGCACTCAAAAGTTCTAAATTAATTGGCTGAAAAGCAAGTAAACAAAAGGATAGAACCATTCGTTCTGAAGTTTTTCGCAGAAGCGCAAATTAAAGTACATTGCCATTGTCTATTGAATCAACCCCAATGCATTATTACCCTTAGATCACTTCAGCTTTAAGTTATTCTTTTAAATCCTTTTATTTCAATCGTTGCTAGTAGCCCTCAGTATCTCCAACTTACTCAGTAACCTAAAACGCAACTTCCCCCCGGATCGGAGAAATGGAAGATGAGTTGGGGGAACGAATGTGTTGCATCGCGGCCCATTCTGCTCATCGCGTTGAATATCAAATTGAGACTACTGACGCATGAAAGCCTAAATATGGGGTCGAAGAGTCGGTCTTCAGGTGTAGCCAGAGGGGAAAGGTCGGGGCGGTCGCTGGGAGGTAGTTCGGGTAGCCGGCAGGAACGACTCCGTTACACGAAGAGCAGTGGTCGCAGCAGCACTTCGAAGAAGATTGTTACCAGTAGCTCCTCTAAAGTTGTGCCTTTTTCGCAACGACGGCGAGCGGTAATCCATCGCTCATCGCCGTTGAGAAAATCGAAACCATCACCGGTCAACGAACTCGACATATTAGCACTAAGTCAAAAGGAGCAACAATCAAAATCAGGTTAGGATACTTCATACTTTTTTGTAAAATTTCCATGTAGCTTTTTAATATCCTTCTGTTTTTGCATGACTTATTTGCACACGCATGTTTGCAATACGGAGGATTAGGACTGATGCTGAAAGTTAAAAAAAAAAAAACGACGTGTTAAATCCAATTACCGCATAAGATTTGGTGACGGTGTAGTCTAAACTAGCACTTCTAGAGTTGAGGCAACAATGGGAGCTTAGGTTATATGGACTTCTGGGATTTTAATATATCATTGTCAATAGGAGGTAACCCTAAAAGGATCTAGGAAGTGCTGATTATTTTAAAACTGAAGTTTCATTTCATATTTGTTCCAGTATTTTATGCTTCTGAGTCATAAAACCTTGTAATTTTAATGACATGCTAATGTTTAACTACAAACTGTGTTAATATAACTGTTTTCAGGAAACCGTGGAAAAGATGGCATTCAGGTAAATGGTCCATATTTTATAAAATTTAGTTTTGTTTTTCTTTAGTAATAGCATTAAGAAGTACTTTATTCTTGGAATATCATAATGAAGTCTGCAAAAGATAATGCTAGGATTAGAAAGTTCACTAAGTGAAATCTGAGAATTGAATAGCTTTGAAGGTAAAAACATTCATACTTTCTTTTTTTACAGTTTTTTTTTGTAGTCATTTAACAGCGGTCTAGTATTTGAGTAATACCAAAAGACAATAAACGTGAATACCGAAAAACTTTATTAAGATTATAAGGTTTTCCGCATACAGAATTGCTAAAAGTCCAAATCATCATGATCTAATCAATTATTCATGAAATGGACTAGACTTTCAACCTGTAATCAGATTCCTCTTTTGTGGTCTTTTACTCGACTGCGTCTAACTCAAGTTTTCCCCGCTGGAAAATATTTCATTTTGAATAACGTAAAGTTCTTGATTATATCAAACATACTATTATATGTAGAAATTGCTCATTATTAGCTGTATGACATCCAATGTGATATTTAAAGGCTGTCGCTCGAGCAAAGGACGCAGGATGCACGCTGAATGGTCTTATTTGTCCAGAAAGTTTAGTTCTTACTTTAAATAATTTTAAAAAATTTTTAGGATCGTCCTGAAAGAGCGCAATATCGCCAGTTTGCTGGCACAATGGATAAGCGTGGATTTTGGGGTTCAAGAAACAGGTAAGTTTTATTTGCACATATATGCATTTAATGTGAAAAAAAAATGAAGAAACGAAGATTTTTCACTGCGTCTGTTGATTTGTTTTTGTTCCCCACCATTTTTTTATTTCAGTGGATTTGGAATGAGGCAAGGGTAAGTGGACGATTGGTGACATTTCGGTATGTATGATGTCACGTATTTGAGAGAGAAAGCCTTTGTTTTTTGCTAACGTTGCTGAAAGGGAGTCGTTTTGACCAAGTATTGTGGCTTCATGTGTATATATGTGCGCCGAATGTTGGTTAGAAATAAATATTATTTACAGAATGGACTATCGTCGCACTCCGATGTATCCGCTACGACGCGGCATTGGAGGAGGCGACTTGGCTGATCAACGTACACATATCGGTTGGTTTTCTTTATTCCTTTGCAAACTCAAAAAATGCTCAGTTTCTTAGAAAAAACTCAGGTAATTATCAACAATTACTTCTCCTTGTTAGCAGTCTTGATTCCCCTCATACTTTCATAAAACAGGTGATAAACTTAGAAGCATATAATACTAGACGGTTCTAGTAGTCAAGATAAAAAATGTGTTTCATGCAAATGTTGTGATAGTTTGTGTTTTTCTTGCCAAGTTTTTTTGCCAGTTTTTTGCAATCATCTGAAATTTTGGATAGTAGATGTGATTCTTTATCATTTTGTAGCAATACATTCATCATTCAATAAGAAAACTATGCAGAAGGTTACTCATACTTTTGCAGGACGTAATGGACGGCATTCTTATCAGCGAGCTACTGAGCAAAATAAATCAATGAACGATGAAGAGAAGCCGGTGATGAATTTGTTCGATCCATGTAAAGTTCCTACAGGACGCTCCTACTTTACGGTAATATCTCCTGACAAAGGATGTCGGCATTTCAAATGCACTGTGTATAATTTAGGGATAAATATTGATGAACTTCAGAATGTCACTTTATATTTTTGATGTATAATCATCGAAGGTATGCCTCATTGGATCACAAAACTAATGCTGTTGATATGCTGATAGATGTCTCATTTTCTGTAATTATTAAAAGCACAATTGAAATAGATCGTCTGGCAGTACTTCATGCTAAAACTGTTATATCTTTTTTTTTTATCGGCCGTGGGAATTTTGTTTGCATTCATGTTTGATTTTGCAGCATGATGATCGAGCTACAAAGCCAGCACGCATTTCTCGGTCAAGATATTCAACTTCTGGTGATAGTGGTTGGCAATCGTTACCAGTCGGCTGGCGGAATGTCCGAAAGGTATTTCTTATAAATTTATCTCGGTTCCAACCAGATTTTTTTTTTTAATTTGTAGCCAAATATAGCTTCATGCTATTTAAAACAAATGATTTATGCTACAAATTTATTTTTTCTATTCCCAGTCATATTCTATTACTGTGAACCGTTTTATTTCAATTTTTATGGAGATCCACTGCTAATGTGTGTCACTGGGGAGATATCTTTTCTCTTGTCGTTATATACCACATAATAACTAGCAAGGCCGTTGTTATCGATGTACCTCCCAAATTTCGATTCTGTCACGTATTTTAAAAGGTGATAATGACTCATCTTAACTGTTAGCTTTTATTGTGGATTTTCTTGGACGCAGTTCTCACTAGAAGTTTGAATTTTTTCCAAGACCGTTTCATTTTTGCTTCTTTACAGTAACCATACGGTGAGTAATCTATTATATAAGGTAATTGCCGTCATATACCATATAATAATCTCGCACTGTCTAATAGGTCTCTTTGATAAAGTCTGATATTCACTGGCTTTATCTCTATTGCATATTGTGTTGTATATGCGAGGGTTTCGAATTCCTGGATATGAGGACTTACGTATAGACTTTATTGAACTGATTTAAATATGGCCATCTTTTACTATGTGGATGGATTTTCGCTTATCTTGATTCGTTTCAATTCTGCGGAATTTTTTGTCTTCTTATTAGATTTTATGAACTCAACTATCTAAAAGGCAGTAAGCATTTAAATGGACACCATCCTGTTGCCTCGTTACATTTCATTAGAAATAATTTGCTTTTACTACCGCGATTACTTCTTCACAAAATTTGAATTTTTCTCATTTACTTAAATTGGTATAAAAATCCGAAATTCTTCCTTTCATCTACAATTTTTGATTCGACAAGACGCTCGTAAGAGTTTAAACTGGCATCTGCAGAGATACTTGAAAATGAAATATTTGCTGGCGTATTGTCCTAGCCTTTGTCGATGAAAATATTGTTTTTATCATAGGGAAAAATTCCAGCAGTTGATAAAAACCGAAATGCAAGTTATGGATAATTATAGCCGTGATTAGGTTACTATACGTATTTGATAATAATGAATTAAGGTGCGAAGAAACGATGATGCCCTCAACGACGATAATTATGTATCTTATCATAAAAAGCGCTCTGAGAGAAATCCAGCTGATGAAGTGTGGAAACATGACATGTTTGAATGCGAAGAAAGTGAAGGAACTCAGATTGCGCATGTTCGAGATCAGTCGTAGATTATTCTCATTTTCGCTTGTTTAGATGTTGTGCTCGTTATGTTTTTACCTTTTTGTTGAAGTTTATGCTTTTAGCGAATTTTTATCGGACGATTATTGCATTTAATGCAATATCAGGAAATGTTTTCCTATATTTTCCTGCAACCTAATTTGTCATTCAACACAACGCCTCCTTTCAGCATATGGATTACCACAAAAAATTATTGACAAAGATCCTTATGAAATCAAATCAAGCTAACAGCAAAAGAGATAGTCGAACAAAAATATCTTGTAACAACTTAGACTACAGGGTATTTACTATAGTATTTACTATTTACTATAAGGTGCACCTCTTATTACTTTTTGAAAGTGTTTATAACATTCTTGCTGGCGTTGCTTGAAGAAGTTAAAAAGCTAAAATTTTAAATACGGTTCCCATTTCCTGCTTAAGCGCAAAAGTGGATCATATTTAAAGTAAATGTGTATGAGGAATGAAAACTGCAAAGCATTAGTTATGCGAGATTAAATGTGCTACTTCATAAAATTCCGGAATACTTTTTATTACTGCTTCAATAAAGTATTTTTCCAACGTCTGTGCAATTGCAAATGAATTTTTCTTAAACTGAAATACCAGTGTCGGCTACAATTTTTATGGTGACCGAGATAAGACGTGTCGAATAATTGATGTTCATGAATGTGAAATGATATATACTATAATGTTGCGGAATATTCTCCAAAATTAAAAAAGGAGCATAATAAATATTCAACGCACAAGCAATAACTGTTGGGAGTGATATTGCAAAAAGCTTCAATGAAATTTCGATCAACAACTACTTTCTCTAACCATCGAGATTTTCGATTTTCTCACAAACATGCACGTAACATATGACATTGTTTGCAATTCTTCCCTCATAAATGCAAATATGATTACATTTAAACCCCCACTTCTTTCGCAAACTGTCGTGTCACTAATTCATTCTACTCACCATCAAACGATAATCTTCCTTGTTTATTTTCCAAAATAAATTTGGTTTGTATTAGAAAAATTCTCTCTTAACTTTCATTGATTCTACTATTAGCAAGAAGAATTAGCATCTTGTGAAATCGTTTTATACTGAAAATGACTATTATAGGAACTGCTAACTCTCCGCCACAAAGAAATGTACTTTCCTTTTCACTTATTTGATTAGAAATTTAAATTCGACAATGAAGAGAATATAGCAATCGTAAATGTGCAGTCTCCCTACCAATCTTTTCACCCGCATTCCTGAGAGTAATTGAACAGAAAAGTCGTAAGTAATAGAACCCTCCCGATCGATTGAAGAAACAACGAGAATGTAATGATCGATGCGATCGCCAATTGGCAAAGCACTCCTTGTGCCCGCCTATTGCAATAAATGCAGCCTACGTGAACCTACAATGCACTTTCACTTTTACAGCTATGCATCCCTTCTGCTACACAAGCAAACACGTTTTCATCGTTTGTTCTACCCGCTCGACTGTTTCATTGACAAATAGATGCTTATCATTTCTCATACATTTTACTTCTTTGTTTTAGTTATATGGTAAGAAGTTAAGAATGACATGGTAGCGTGTAATTCTGAAAGATGTCAGTACGCGTGTTGCACGCATGACTGATACAGAATATTATCGAAAGGCAAAAGAAGATTAGAGTGAAACATCAAAAAGAGGATTGAAAGCACATAACTAAATAGATGTCACCTTTTGTAATCGTTTTCACCATAGAATCACGCCTCTCTTATTTTCAATTCAGAAATTAATGGGGAATGAAAAATTCAGATAATCGGATTATGGTAGAAATGAGTCAACAGTAATAGTCCTTTAATCAATCATCATTCACTTCATTGTTTCCATCAATTACATCTTTATTGGGCTGAATTGCTAAAATTCTAAAAATTTCCGACAGTAATTTGGGAGTTATTAATATATAATTGAATTCTTTATTTAATGGATTAATTTAAAAGAAGCAATCAATAAAATAACTTACTAATCAATAATCAATAAACTCTAACTGTGTAGGATTAGTCTCAAGTTTGTTTATTGGCCACTACCGCCTCAATTAATCACATAAATGGCATAACGAGTGGTTTAAAGGAAATGATTTTGACTACTTGTATCCCATTTAAAGGTCATATTGGGACATATGCGCGTTTTATCTCTTCCTTCTCTCATCTGATCTTGACTTTCATATTGTAATCATTGATAAACATGATTGGCATATTATCCTATTACTTATCACCAATTCTTAGCATAATTTGTTTCTTCAAAGTTTCTTTCCTTTAATTTAAAGTGGGCGGTATATTATGAACCGAAATATTATTGCTGCCAGCCAGCAGTGCAATTTTCCATTCCTCTTGTCTCTCTGTAACTGTGTAGCCCCGAATTGAATGATGGATTGAATCGAATTTGGAGAGGGCATGAATGCCATTCCTTCCATTCCATTTTATTTCTTTTCTTTCTTCAATCTTTTCTTTTTCACTTTATATTCAAATGAATGATTTCATCTAAAACTTTCCCCAACAAAATAATTCAGCACTTCCCATTTTTCACATCTTCAAATAGCTGCCTTCTATTTAAAAGATTCCTTAAATTCTTCCAAGCAAACACTTTCATCATTTACCATTCCCAAGTTTCATAAACATTTCCCAATCCTATCGTTTCATTTCAATGATAATAAATAAACATATGTTTGTTTACGTTTATGTATGTATATTTTCATCGGATTGTTTTTCAAATTTTATTTAAAAGATTTTTTCTTTATAATTCATTTATTTATTATTATACATTATTATTTATTTATTATTTATTTATTCATTTACTTATTTATTTATTTTTTATTTCTTATTATTGTTATCATTATTTTGTTATTATGATTATTTCTTTTTGTTGAGATTTACAGAATATATATTTTAATGTTTATTTCTTATTGTTGAGAGTTGCAGAATATATATATTTGAAGCAAAACCGTATATTTGTTTACTATTGTTCTCATCAAATTTCGGCATAAATTTGTGGCCTATGCATAAAGTAGACATTACTTTATATTATAATTTATCACTGCAAGCTATTTCATGCTTCCAAGTAAGTTTTTATGTAAATTTATGCAAATAGACTCTTTCATAAATTGTTTCGAATTTAATAGAATTAATTTTGTTGGGACAATTGAAATCTATGACATAATGTAGAAACTTTGATTTAGTTTCGTATTCTTTATTCAAATAACATTAATTTATTGCAGTCAATTGGGATTATAACGAAGAAGGTAAATGTGGTAAGTTTTGGCTAATTTGTAATTAATTCTTCAACGATTTTTTTTTCGTTTACTTTTACAATCAAGTAATAAAAAGATTTATTTACTCATATATTGTGGAACAATCACTGTTACCGTAGAATCTCGTTATGTTAAAAAAGCAATGAATTTTAGAAATGAATCTCTTTATTATTAATAAATCTCAAATTTTGCTTTATTTCTTTTCCATACAATTTTGCTTTTTCTTATATTCCATCTAATCACTCTTCGATTTTGAAAATTCAAAAATGTTCCTCTTTATTTATATTTCTTATCCTTCTTTTGATTATTCTAGGCCCAAGATATTGGCCAAATGCTAATGGTCGTTATCAGTCACCAATAAATTTGGATTTATGTTTGATGAAATATAGTACTGTGGAGCCACTTAAGTTTCAGAATTATGATATGAAATTAAAGGGTGAAATTGTAAATAATGGACATTCTGGTGACTTTTTTCTTTTTCTTTTATCAATAACTCTTATTCTGATAAATGTGGGAATTTGTTACAAAATTTTATTTAATATATAAGCTTTTTATCATTAGTGGATTGATAGACCGTTATCACTAAGAGGGTCAGAGTCTGATGTTTTAAAATTAAATGCTTCTGTGTTTACTTCGTTTTTATAATTAAATGAATGAATTAAACATAGTTAGAACTATCGATGTAATTCTATCGCAAACAGTGTGGATAGTTTCGTAGTGTCAAGATAGCAGCTTTTGAATGAAATATTTCTAAAATCGGATTATTTCACGAAAATTTCTTTGAAACATTTGACAAGTTTCAGTGATCTTTTTTGTATTGCATATTTTTAGTTTTACCAAACGAAATTTTTAGTCTAACAATATTGTTTTTAGTACAAGTGAATCCACACTTTGAAAGTAAAGTGCCAAAAATTGGAGGTGGTGGTCTCGATCAGATTTATCGTTTGGTACAATACCATTTCCATTGGGGACTTCACGATAATGAAGGTAAGAGTAATAGTTTTACCCTGATTGCTTCATTATTCATTGCATCAGTGAATCTAACAGCTATCTGACATAGATGTGGGAATTCATTAAATTGATTAAATTCATTAAATTGTTTTTCTAATACTGCAACGCAGTGTCATAGTTTTCAACCGACATAACTCATAGATACGTTTGTAAGATCGTTCGAATCCAGCTTGTCTTTTTTTTTCGTCACACTGTCACAGTAATAGGAAATATCTAAATGTTTTCTTCAGGTTCCGAGCACACTTTAGCTGGTCTGCATTATCCGATTGAGTTACATCTTGTCCACGAAGGTATCACAAATCCCAACAAACTAGCCGTTATTGGTGTCTTCTTTGTGCTTGGTTTTGATGATAAGGCTTTGTTTCAAGAATGCACCGTTCTTAATAAAATAATCGATCCAGGTTTCCTGTTCAATTTATCATTGATAACTGCTTGCTTCTAATTATTATATCTTTATTCCTTCAAAGTTTAGCAAATGAATTTTGGAAGAATGTTATGAGTTTCTGAGTAATTTTTTCACCCCTTTTTCTAAGTAATTCTTTAAATGTATGAGTCACCGCTTATCAAAGGGAACTATTTTGTTAAACATTCAAGAATTCTAGAATTCTTTATCAAAGGTTAATTATGTAACAATTCCAATGATAAATGATTCCATTGGAAATTATGTTTGGCTAAAAATAATTAAAAATTTCAATCAATTCATTGAAAATTTTTATAACTTTAGTTGAGGAAATTTTAATTCTTATTTTCCAGCACAAGGTCAGCCAATAGAAGAAATTCTTTTGGATGATAAGTTGCCAAAAAATAGGAAATCATTTTGGCGATATACGGGATCTTTGACCACACCACCATGCTCTGAGATTGTTACATGGACAATTTTCACTGAACCTATTGCTATCACCAAATTGCAGGTAATTTTTGCCGTCTTAGTCATGTTTATGTCAAAAATTCATCATTCTGAAGTTTTCTTTTTCATTATTTAAAAAATAAAAATAAAAATGTTTCTATTAGCGAGACAATCTTACTTTCATGATTGATCTTCCACCAATTCATATAACAAAATAACTGTTCCAAAAATAGCATGGAGTATTTTAACTTTGTTTAATTTCGTAGTCTAGATCGTATTCTTGTCATACTGCACAGTCCTTTTCCATCTTCCTGCTCACTTCAAATGATTGAGAGTTTTCTTATTGAGATGAAAATTCTTGTAAATATATTAATTTAAGAATTCAAATTATTTAAAAAGGTCAAACATGATTTGAAGCATTAGAACGATAGCTGTTTGAGACAAATTTCTCATAAATTATATTTCAGAATAAGTATCGGTGCTTATTTTTCCTTACTAATTATGATTGCGCTTTAATTTGACTCAGATCCTTTAAACAATTCCTTGGAAGTCTTCATAATTTTGCAATCGGTAATCAATTTCAAGAGAACTGTAATTGCTTGTATTTTCCAGCTTGCGCTCTTCCGAAGTTTGCGTGACAAAACAGGAAAAATAATGGAAAAGAATTACCGTCCGATACAGAAACTCTGTGGTCGCGAGTTACAACTTATGGCCACTGTTTGATTAATTTAACTTAGCATAAATTGATGGGTCTTGCTATTATTATTTGTTACGAAAAATATGGAATACTAAAGATGGATTGTAATACTTCGTTGCACTATTTGTGGCATGTATGAGTGCATATTTAATTAATTATTATATTCAATTAATATAAAGGTAAGTATCGGTTTCGTAGAGGGCTAGCTCTTTGATGTTATAAAGCAGTAATCTTGCTGATTACAAATTATTCGCTTTGAAATATAAAAATTGCTATGAATTCACTACAGAAGAAATTTGGAATAAAAATTATGGATTCAATATGTTGAACAGAAAATAAGCCTTCATTACACTACCAGCTTTACTTTTTTATTCAGACGCACCAAAAAGAGATATAAATGAAATGTTCTCTCAATTTGGACAATATTATAAAATTGTTTGTTTATTGCAGAATGCTGTAAAAAAAGATATAAAAAATTTATATAATTTCCACTTCTTACAGTTAAATATCAAATGTTTGTGCAAAAAATTTTAGGAAAATGGGTTTGTGAGACGTCCTAACTTCCGATGATATTCTTCCAATTTTTTTTGAAATCTCATCCTTATAATTTTTGGGAAATAAAGGGTTTGAAATTATATCAATTTTATTGAGGAAATGAATAACAACCAAAAATGCAATCAAATCAATAATTTATTGAAATTATCAAGCTAAATGCTGTAATCTTCGAATATGAAGAAATATAATACATCTCTGGGGAAGGAGTTTTTTAAAGTTTTTTAATTTATGATATTTGAAAATTGTATGCTATTAATGTATAAAGAATAGGAATCTCAAATTTTGTTTTTCAGCTTCGTAATATTTTCCCCGCTCCTGTTTCGGATATAACTTCCTTAATATAACTATAATCTAAGCTGATAAATTTGGAAATGAAAAAGTGTCGAAGGCTGTAAGTTAATGCCGTGCCTGAAAAGAGCATTCAGTAGAATTCCTATTCAGCTGATGCAGGAAATACGTTTTTGGAATTGTGTAACTTTCATTTTAATATAACTTGGTTTGAATAGGCTTTTGTTATTAGAGAGTAGAAACTATACTCCGATAACAATAACAAGCAGTTTTATTTCAAAACGGCAATTTTTTAAATTATCGGTCACTTCATGAGGTCAACCATTTGTCAAGCTTTTTCACTTAGGTGTCAAATGACCGACTACAGGATGGATGATATTGAATTCTTCAGCAACCTTATGCATTTATAAGAGGATCGGCTATTCTTAATTGGTCATTGTCCACTCGATGACTGGTCGCTGCTTCTTTTATTTTTAAATTCCTAAATTTCTTCCCAGAATTTTTTGGATCGATGATATTATGAATTGCCTCAGNTTATGCATTTATAAGAGGATCGGCTATTCTTAATTGGTCATTGTCCACTCGATGACTGGTCGCTGCTTCTTTTATTTTTAAATTCCTAAATTTCTTCCCAGAATTTTTTGGATCGATGATATTATGAATTGCCTCAGTTTGTGAATTCATGCGAAAATTCATTTCAGCTTGCTTTCTGTCTAATTTTATTTCCAAAATTAGTCTATTAACAAATGGCCTAAGTTATTAGCAAAAGACATAACGCAAATAAATATGCATTAAAATAGAAATCATATTTATTTAAGATTGTATTTCAATACTAAACAACAAAGTCTAAATGGCAATTGCTCTTTGTTAAATGCTCTAAACTAACAAAAATATCAAATTAGCTATTTAATTAATAATTAATTAGATATATTATTAGGAAATACAGCGATAACCGCAAAAGTTGTCCAATTACGACAATGCAAAATAAGAATATTTTTTTCTGCAAATTGTAGTAAATGTGGTGGAAAGATCAAAAAATGCAGAAAAATTGTTTCTCAAGTCTATAGACTTAAAATAANTACAGCGATAACCGCAAAAGTTGTCCAATTACGACAATGCAAAATAAGAATATTTTTTTCTGCAAATTGTAGTAAATGTGGTGGAAAGATCAAAAAATGCAGAAAAATTGTTTCTCAAGTCTATAGAATATATAATTACATAAATTTAACAAATATCTCAGAAAATTGTTTTATTCGAATTTATAAACTCATACAAAAAGCTGATTATAATCTGTTGCCTTTTATTTCATTTCATTTTCAAAACTTTCCAATATCAAATGTCAGCAAGTTATTAGCATATATGAATATAAATGAATTAGCATTAAAATAACAATGATGTTTATTTAACAATTATAATTCAATCATCAAATATCAAAATTCAAAGTCGTAGTTCTCTTTTTACATTATCACATTTATTGATATTACTGTATAAATTCATTATCATTCTAATTCAACGCATATTTTGTTGTAATATTAGTTGGGAAATATTCACCAACAGATATTTACATGCTTTTTTTCTTTTGTTACCAGTCACATGAATTACTATAATATCCCAACAGAGATTTTGTTATTGAGAGAATAAGAAAGAATGAATACTGTTTTTTCATTTCTGTATGTACGTATGTGTGTGTGTGTGTGTGTGTGTGTGTGTGTGTGTGTGTGTGTTACAGCTTACACAATGCCATTAGTATATTAGCGATCAGTGATTATAATTTGTTGACTTGCTAATATATTAGTGATAAAGATTTTTATTTTTGATTGGAAAAATATATTCTCTCCTTCTTCCCTTTTCCTCTTTCAGTTATTTCATATTTATTCACAAGCATGAATTCATTTGCTTTTAATGACAGATATTTATTCATTTGATATTTTATTGTTTGTAATTTTAAATTATGATCAAATAGCTATTTAATATCATCAAAAAAGAAATTCATTATCTTCATTTTTATTATTTTAAGTAGGAAAATTTCAGCCCAAAAGGATTGCTTAATTTTAGAAATTCGTAAGTTTTTGAAAAGAGCATTTAATTCCGTTAGATTGAAGAGACTTACAATGTTAGTACCAAATGCAGTAGTTCCAGGCCAAGGCGCAACTTACTTCAATTCCTTTTTTTTTTAAGTTTTTGAATCGTACTCTTATTGATGGCTAATTATGCATTATCCCTTGTGAGCTATTCTTACGATTCAATTAATGTAAGTTAAACTTAGCTATGAATTTCTTTTATCTTACGGCTACTTAACCATTTTAGGGTTTTATATTATTAGCGCTTTCAGGCAATGTATGATCCTATTGAAATTTAGATTAAATGATTTTTGATAAGCACGAATGACTTATGATTGATAAGTTTTGGACTGATTATTATTATTTTTATTTTTTGATTGGCTTATAATTTTGAATTATCTTTCTGAGTGTTTGTTATTTAGTGATTATGACTTATTAAAAATGCAACGAAGCGTTGAATTTAGAACGAAATACGTTTTTATTTTATTTCATTTTTCTTCTATCCTTTTTTGCTGACAGATTGTTGCGTTCAACAATATTTCCTTAATGTTTTCATTGCTTAGAGAATAAATTAATTGAAAATTTTTGACATTCCTTTTCCTTTTGAAAATTTTAAAAAGGAAAAGAAATAATTTAAAATTTTAAACATTTCTTTCCTTTGAAATCGTTCATTTCCACTACATCTTCAATATTCGTTTAAAATTTAAATTTTTAAATTATATTTTGATTGATTAAAAAATAAAATGGATTAATTAAATGTTTTAAACAAAAAGAAATTAATGGAGGATGTTATATTGAAATATCTTAATCATTCATTAAATTTTTCACCTGTAATATGTCTATAGTGCCAAAACAATATTGCTATGCTTGTTATCGCCTTATACGTTTTTGGGAGAAAATACAATTTTCATCTCTTTTTTTTTCTTTTAATTGTCTCATAGATTTTTGTCATGCGTGATGGTTGGACATATTCGACGTTCTTCGTTGCTACCAGGTGGGCGAACATATCAAGCAGTGAAGTTTTCTGACTATCATCATCTAGGATCATCAATTGAAGCTAGACGCCGAAACAGGTTATATCATACTCTTTCCTACTTCATTCTTTATTTTGTTTCCTTGTTTTTCATCTTCTTATTCTCTTCATTTCATTATCTCATCGTCTCATGAATTTCGTTCTTTCCATCTCACCTGTCTCAAAAAAACCAGTTATTCATCATTATCATCTTCACTAACAATCATTGCATTCGTTAATAACCAACTACTACATTGTAAAAAGATCATTGATGAAATTTATGGAATTTCAAAGAACTCTTTTTTTTTTTGGAAGAGGGGGCCTCTATTTTACCTATGAAAAACATTTAAGATATTGCAATTTGTTATAGGCATTGGTAGAGAAAATTTTATAAGCCTAAATTGGTAGACAGTATGGTCAACTAGGAGTTTATAGAAAAAGGTTTATTATATGTAATATGTGAATATTACTATTATCGCATTAAGTTAAAAAATATATATCTTTTATAACAAGCAATAAGAAGGATGGAAAAAAGATTTTATTTCGATTCTTAATTCGTTTACAACTTTTGAAAATTTATTAGTTCGAGTTGAAATATCTGATAGATTATACCCACAATGCCGACTAATAATAATAAGCAATCAGTTTTTTTTTTATTCCGCCTTTAATTTTGAACTAAAGAGGAAAAAGAGTAAAATAAGAAGAGAGTGATAAAAAAGGTAGAGAAAAGAAGTGAATGATAAAGCAATACTTTTATTTACTTTCTTATTATCATTCTATTCTTATTTTGCTCTTTTCCCTTTTTGATTCAAAAATTTTCTCGAAATTCTTACCAGTTCTCTTATTACCTCAAGTCTGAAATTGAGGGATTAAAATGTCTAATCTTTTGAAACTTTTGTTAAGTTTAGAGAACAAAAAGTTTTGTTAGCAGAGTTATTCTGAAATAAGTGATACTGGCTGTAACATGAAGCAACTTACAGGTAAATTATATTTTTTCCAACTGAAAATTCTTTCAACTAACAATCGAAGTAATAATGATTCATAAGCTGGGGCCTAATTACGCAGTCAAGTGATATCAAGTGATAGCCAGGTAAAATGATAGAATGAATATCATTTTAATGATTAGTATGAACAGGAGATTCGATATCTACTCTCCCATGCATCTTCTCAATGCATCTAATATTTAAATTTCTACTTTAATATTATATGACATATCATAAGTGTCCCTCTGATATTAATAAATTTTTGAAAAAAAGGCACAACGGAAGAGAAATTAACAAGCAAAGAAATTTTTGAAGGAATTTACGATAGCTTTTAGTTTGAAGTAAATAATTACATCAAATGTTTACAGTTCATATTCTCTTCAAAAAAATCTACAACAGTTTTGGAATAAATATTTTAATTTTAAACTGAAATGTGAAATTTCTAATTGAAATTTATTGATTGTTTGTTTTAAAGCAAAAATGAATTTTCTTCTTTTGACTAATACTTATGCAAACTTTGTTTAAAATATGCAAATTTTTTTCGAAATAAGCAAATTTCTCGTTCGGAACATGCAATTTTCAGTACTGAAAACAATCTCTAAATTATGCAAATTTTTGGCTTCTAAAATTTCCCACCACAAAACAAACATTGCATAATCAGTTGCGGTTTGATTGTTGCGCTTGACCGGTAGTGTTTTCATTTTAGCTCGCCAGCCGGTAATACCGTTGTTGCCTCAAGTGGAACTGGCGCTAATACACCGATTATTGCTATTGATAGTAAGATAGAGCAGGCAATGGTGAGCCCATTTTTATCTATTTCTTTCCTTACTTCATTTCACATTATAAAAAGAAAGTTAACTTCGAATCCCATACCGCTGTTACTGACAGGTAGGGCTGTTTTCAGATTGAAAGGAGCAGGCAGCCGGGCTAAGTTTAAAAGTATAATTCCCCATGGTTTTAAATTTAGATAAATCACGTAGCGCACTGATATCGCTCAAAAGTTCACTAAAAACTTTTTGTTTTAAATGTGCCATTTTCCATTCGGAATGTGTTAATTGTTGTTGAAATGCATTCAAATATACTTTAACATTACTTAGTCTTTCCCCAAAAGAAAAAAAGTTAAATAACTCAAAGACATTTATTTATAAACTTACGACAATATGTTTATTCGACATCTAATTATGATAATTGTAATATAGCCATGGGATTATGATTATGATTATGATTATGATTATGAAAATATATTCCTATTATTAAATTGTTTTTTAAAATTTCTTAAAATCAGAATTTGTATGGAAGAAAAAGAAGTTGAATAATCGAATTAATTACTTATACAATAAACTAAAAAGCATCTGAATGAATGATTTTAATACTTTTCAACAATTGTTTAATTAATGAAATTTTTATGAGAATTATGAATTATTATTAGTTTAGGATTTGGTAAAAACTCATCTGATGTTTGCCGTACGTGAAGAAGTTGATGTTTTAAGGGCAAAAATTATGGAATTAGAAGCTACCGTAAGTATTTTCATCTTTTTCTTTTATTGTTGTTTGAAGAATTCAAAAAATTTCGGATAATTAAAATAATTCAGAGCTAATTAGAGATGAAAGAAAATGGAATTAATCTTTCCATAACACCTAAAAACTATACTATTTTGCTTTTATGATACAATTTTCTAGCTAATACATGTACAGATTAGCGAATTGCTATATCTGAATTGTAGATTTTGCAATTGGAAGCTGAAAATGCAATTCTTCGTGAACATGTGCCGGTGGAAATTCTGAATAAATTAAGTTTGCAAATGACACCGACCAATTCGACTACAACAGCTGCTGCTGTTTGAATGTCGAACAGTTTGATATTCTTTTTTTCTTTTCATCGATTGACCTCTTCGCTTTAGTACTAATAATGTGTAATAATTTCTCTATTTCATCGTTTTACCTGTATTCGATACTTTGTGTTCCACGTCATTACTCATAACTTACTTCACCGCTCTTTAGAAGGTGTACTGATTTTTCATACTGAAATCTAAGAGAATAACAACAGTGGAAAATTTAATTTTAAGCTTTTTGTAGTTTCAATCAGATTTTAAAAATTCTGTGACACATATATTTTTTGTGGAATGAGCAAATTTTTTATTTCATAATATCGATTAAATTATGTTAAAATAGGAGCAAAGAGTTAGATTAGTAATACTATGGAATATGCAAATTTATTTGTTACTTGGATTTTGTTTTCATTTGTTGCTAGAGTTTATTAGTAACTTACTGACTGGTTCGTTGAGACGGGTCATTACCCATGTCACTATTTGATATTTACCAATTAAATTATCATTTTACTCATAAATCTCAATTGATTTTAATTGAAGTAAGTATGCATATGTTAATCATTAGTTTGCTAAAATTCAGTAATGTGCCGGAATGCAGTTTAGTAGAACTTCTCTTGGTTATTCAGTAATGTATCAAAAGATATATAGTTTCTCTACGAAAAATTTAATGCTAATGCATGAAGCTTTTTTTGTAGTTTTAATCAAATTTTAAAAATTCCATGATACATTGATTTGTTGTGAAGTGATCCGGAAGATACCTGAAGGAATCCAACAAAATTGGTGATTAAACATAGCATTGTACAAGTTCATCTTTCTATGCCCGAATATGTTAACTGTTTTTGCATCATTAGGTATGATTTTTAGATAAAAGGAAAAAATTCTTTATTGACACTGATATTGACTTCTTTCACTGTTTAAGTTAAATGGTAGAAGTTACATGCTTACAACAAACATTTAATAGTAACTTTTTTATATTTCCCTTAATTCCACAGTTAACGATTTGTCGCATTTAATTTCTTTTCATCTTTTGATAATGTGCTTTCATCTCCATTTTTGGGCTTTGAAATCTTAACAGATCGATTTTCAGACGGAAATTCCAATTCTTTGAAAAAATTAGAGAATGAATTTTTCGAAATTTTGAAAATATAATCTGTGGAATATCCGGAAATCTTAAGTATCTTTAACATTGAGCATGCACAATTTTTAGGTCATTTCAAATTTTTTGCATAGGAGACGGTGCTTTACTTTAAATGATGTTTAATTTCCGATTTGTTTGTAATAAATGTTTTATTTTAGGATAATTCATATTGTACATAAAAAGTATCATCATGTCTCTTAGCTAGCGCTTTATGTGTTGTCATTGTTTATCACATATTTGATGTCCATCATGACTGTCTCATTTCCACTTTTCTGTCATCCACTATCTTCATTTTCACTTGTTTAGGCTATAAAAGTGATAATATTTGTTACCTAAGCAAAAACAGACGAATAATTTCTAATTGGAAATCAACTAGGTGCTTCGTTCCCGGGTCCTCATCTCTACTTGAATTTCAAGTTAGGAGATACATGCATTTTTTTTAAGGGAATTTTTTAAAGAACTTTGAATCTTAAAAGAGAAAACTTCGCTTCCTTGAAAACCTCATTTAAAGTTTTTGTGTCTTCTTTTTTGTATCCTCTTCAGGTATTCTTGTCGTTATATATGTACCTTTTTCCCATCATTGCCATTGATTCTTTATAGTTTTGCATTTTTGAGGTACATGCTTTTTTTTGCTGATCCTATGGAAGTATGCAAATTTTTCACTGACATGCATCCGCACATTTTTTTGCTGAATCTTCCCTGCAAACTCGTACTTTCTCAGAATTACTGGAAATTGTTTGAGCAGCATGCAATCTTCTACTTAAAATAAAGTATACTCAATAATTGTACATGTGTATGAAAAAAATAGTTTAAAACTTTACAACATGTATTTCTTTGTCGTCCTTTATCACTATTCTTGAATCAATGTTTACTACTGCTGGGTGGACATAAATTCGTGCAGTTGTCATTTGTACATAATTATGCCATACAATTTCAATATCTATATTTCTACAAACACTTATTAGATTGAACTCATTAACACGCATTTCCAGTTCAGATCGAATCCGAAAAAAGTTCAACCTCATTAAATTCAAATTTCCGCTATCACTGGGATTGGATCAGTTGCATGAAAAGTAAAATATAGGCTTCCTTTTTGACACTTTTGACACTGCCATTATTTCAAATGTAACAAAATCATCTAAAAATGAAGAGTACTTTAAAAATAGTATAGGATCATGCTGCAACAAATCGTTAATATACTGTTTAATTTCAAAAAAGAAAAATGAAGGATATAAATGAGGAAAATCATACACGGTTCAATACAATCTTACATCATGCTATAGTTTCCAGAATGGCATAAAATTAGAAAAAAATGAAATGCCTCAAAAAGCAATATTACATGATAATGAAATAGCATTACCGATATTAGGACTCGATGATAACAAAATGCAACTGCTCGGATTTTATAGCTGAAAAATATAGTAAAATGCACAAAAGATATTATTAAAAGTGGAACGAACATTACTGCGAAAACAGCTTCTTGGACTAGTGACAGGAGGGAAAAAATGCTACGATTTAAAACCTTATTATTATTAAACATAACACTGAAACGAGTCCTGCGAAAACATTCACATAGTTAAAGTGGGGAAAAAAATAGTCTTGAAATGAACAAATACAGCCAGAGATTTCAGGGAAGGAAATGATTAAGTTGTCACAGTTACTGACATTGCTAATATACATGCACACACACACACACGCACGCACGCACACACACATATACACACGCACATACACATAAATACCCTGAAGTACATATTGTACCAAATTTTACTTAGGTATATTTAAACCACTCAGACTAAAATTAAATGGCAAAGATAAATTAATTTAACATTTGGTAGAAAAGATTCTTGCAGCAGTCCCAACTTTTCTTATATTCTTCCTCATATTCAGCAAAAAAAATGCAAATGAGAGGAAATATATGAAATATCGCATTTCAAAGCAACTCACAACTTCTAAAATACACTAGAAAGAACGTCTCTTGTCTCTCCGAACTTCAAAATATTTCTTAAATGAAATACTCACGTGAATCCATTGTCAAACAAATCTCACCTCATTAAACTGAAAGCACAGGCATTCATTTTAGAAATAAGAACAAATAAAAAATAAAAATACACTTGTTGTAATTTCACTAAACAAGTTACGATATTAAGAAGAAAAGGAACAAAGCTAAACGACATCTTGAAGCACCAAACATATATTCTGAAAATTTGATGCGTCATCAAACGCGCGCTTGATCCAAATCGAGTTATGTTGTGTTTCAAAAAGTGGTGGAAATTTGAAGATTGGTACTGTTGTTATTCGTTTTTGCAAACAAAAAGAGAAATTTAAAAACCATGGATGTGATAAAAGCAAAAATGACTTTGAATTACTTTTAAATTCGGACTGTTTGGCTGTGGACTTCTTCTCACATAATATACAGGCATCAAAAAAGCGAGTCTCGTGAATCACTAGGGGATTTCAACAAAAATTCCACAAATTTCCAGATATGACATTCCACACAAAAACACCTGCCTTCGTCACCTCTTCAATTAAGTGAATTTCATCGGACTTATAAATGGTATTATCATAATGTAGAATTTCACAAAAATCTCTATGAAATGAACTTGCTTTGTTGTTGGAGGCTTTTTGTAAAGAAGTTGAAATAATGGACAAAATGCGTACCGATAATGAGGCAATTTTTTGTCAATTATAATAACAAATTTGTGAAGAAATTAAGAAACTAGTCAACGTGGCAGTTTACTGAATATCCAGAATAACAGCATGAGACTCGAAGCCATGATCCATCATCTCATTATATCTGATATAAAAAAGATTAAGCAATGTAATTACCGTTTACACTACACCATTCTATAAAATACATGACCGCTGTGCAAGAACCATTCCTGAATAGATGACTTCATAATTTTTTAGCGAACAAATTTACTTCCAGTAGTTTGAACCAAAAATTCCTAGGTTAATTAAGAATTTAGCATCAACCTTGTTTTTGGTAAAATTACTTCCAACAGAGATTCGGATATGTGCGAAAAATTAGATAAATCATGGCTTGAAAAGACAACAATTTGAAAGTCTAAAGAAATCAGTTAAATCAAATCAAAATGCAACTAACAGATCAATGGATTACAGGTAATATGTATAAATGAATTAATCTGCTTTGGAGTCTGTTGAAGCGAAGAAACGCTGGAAACAGTCGGTCGTGCAAGAAATTGATCAGCGACAACGCTTAGGCCTGAGTTGAACACCGAAATTAGACCTGTCAACTGACGCTCTTCAACACAACACTTTTTCACATTGCATGAAGACGGTAAACGAAGTGCGGACGTTTTACGTTTTCGACGTTGTAGAGAAGTCGTTGAACATGAGTCACTTCCAGAATCTCTGTCTTCCTTAGTCTCGCCATCACTGGTACATGAACAAACTTCTTCGTCATCTGAGACAGATTCCGAAACTGGAGGAACGAATGTGTCATCAGAAACTGTTAAACAATCAAAGTCAGAATCTCGTTTTGATTTATCTGTTGCAAATTCCTCCTCTTCTCTTTCTTTTGAATGCTGGCTAACCGACTGCGATGAAATTATGTCCTCCGAAAAATATAAATCAGGAAGGGATGTAGAGTCGTTGTACATGTGCTGTTGGGTTGCTGTTTCATCCATACCGTACATTTCCGGGCCAGCAAATGTATACTGCAATGGTGCAAGACGAAGCGTCGAATATCCAAATTCGATTTGCTCCTGCTTTACCAAGCCATCACAGCTGCTACCCAAATGCATTGGTTCATGACTGAAACAAAATTTCCCAACGTTTTGAAGGTTTCTCGAAAGATTAAAATAGGATTATGACAAGTAACTATTTGGCATTACTAAGTGGTCTATTTTTCCTAATAAAGGAAATGAGTAAATATCGAACAGAATCATAAACACTTCAAAAAAAGATTAGCATGCTTAGCGCAAAAAAGGCTCAATTTTCATCGAAACATGTAGTACAATCCAGAAACATCGAAATATTTATAGTTCTTTCAACTTCGAAATATTTATAGTTCTTTCAACTATAAATATTTCGAAGCCTTATTATCACTATTAGGTGCCTGAAATAGACACAGCACATTCATCAAACAAACTAACCATTAAACACATTCTTTTACAAGAAAATGAATTTCTAGAAACAAGATCACGTGGGTCACGTTATACTTGAATAACTTTCGTTTACCTATTCTCATCAATTAACGAAGAAAAGCCTTCGCCAAAACAATCTCTTTACCAAACATGCCTCATTGCTCCTGGCGCCTATCTCTTTTCGATAATGCCATTATATTTTGGAAATATACAGTGCATAACTGCTTTGGAAAATGTTCCCTCATGTGATGACGACTAGAGCCCATCTATTTATCCTCCGCCACAATATAGTAATACCTTAAATTACATTGCGCCCCACTGCACGCCACAGAAAAATTTGGAACATGAAGATACTACTGCCCTGGTAAATGAATCTTAGCACTTATGTAATCAATTACAACATTTTTAATTTCCATCTTTTGCTTCCGATAAGACATCAAGCGCTTACTTCTTTGACAAATCCAACAAGTGAGTTGCATCATCATCATCATCCGCATTCTCATAATCAGCATCATCCATTTCGTCTTCGTCATCCACATCAACATAATGAGACGGAGAATAAGTGTCCAAAGCTGGCATAGGATTTGAATGCAACATCATCATGGAGTTCTCTGTTAATCTTGGCTCTTCCATCCATTCGGAGTCACTTGCGAACATCGGAAACCTAAAATCTTGTTAACCAGAACTAGAAAGAATTATTAATAATCTCCTGAGAAAAAAGTAAATCTTAAAAATTGACTAGTTAAAACAGAAAAGGGTGATATTGGACTAACCTTTTCTGTTCATCGCGAGCCCTCCTCAACAAATGTAGAATTAATAAATTTCGATGTAGCTTCGCACCACCCCGTTCACTTTTTGAATTGACCATTTTTGCGCATGAAAGACGGATTAAGCGATTACACACTTCGGTTTCAATGATTTCATCAACATCACTGACTGGAGCCATTTCTGCAATGCTCCAAAATTGATGCCTTGAACTGTTCAAAATCTCGCAATAATTAAATCATCTGCAAGTGTAAATTAACAAAAAAGATACATCTGAATACAGCCCGATCGAATATCACATAAAGTTATTAAATTTTGATTGACTTAAATAATAAGAGTAACGCAATTAGAGGAGAATTATGGCGGAAAAAATAAGTCTTATTAAATCCAAGGACCCGCCCCATGTTAAGCACTAGCATACTATAAAACTTCATATGTCTTATAGTGTAGTTCATTCCAACTTGACCTTTAGGCTCAATCAACTTAAAAACTATCGTAATCCAACTTATACTAACATTGCTTTCATTTCTCGTAATATTTTGAACCGTACTAGACAAAAAGTCTTAATCATCTCTGTTATTTGATGCCATCTTTAATAGTCTTAAATTAGAGCGGTGGTACAGATTGTGATGAATTGCTCTTTCAAAGTGAAAATAAAAGTTTAGAGAGTGTTCGTAAATTTTGTAAATTTATTTTAAAAGGAGAGGGTGGGCGGTAACTTCATCTACGAGCGAGCCATTGTGAAATGATCCATTTCACACGTTTCTACAAACATTTCGAGTTCGAAGAATGCCAAGCAACGAATGTCTTCAAATATACATACAATGGAAGGTGAAGAATGGGAGACATTTTGTCTCCGCACGCACTCTTGCTGTTCAGGGACTTCCGATAAGTGTTCAGCGGGAAACGGTCCCTTTTATAATAAACTCCCGACAAGCTATCAAGATCCCTCTTAAGCTTAAATAAATATCAAATTAGATGCTTATAAGAATGTCCTGTTGACTTTCTCGTTTCTTTCTTTAATTGGAAGCATGAAAATGTGAAGTTTTCCAACTTGCAATGTCTCTAACGCATGAAAATAATAAAACAGCGTAGTACTGCTAACATAATTACTAATGACTGATTATCATTATGACATAAGTTATGAATTGACATAGCAATCACATTTGGTAATAAATGAGATATGTATCTATACAATTCTTCGACGTCCATTTACTTAGGAAATGTTCCAGCAAGCTATACAGAAGCGCAGCACACTTGGTGTTCTCTTCTGGCAATGTCGCGACACGCAGCACGTACGGAACATGCAACGTATCGTTGATTACAATGGCACCACCTGCCCAGCCTGGTCGACAGTGTTATCAGTGACGATGATAACGGAAACAAAAGTGGTTACAAACGGCGGTGGCGGTGGCGGCTGCATCGATGACGATCGCGGTGCAGCAACAACCAAACTTCACGCTTTCCTCCACTTCTCCCCACACTCCTACTGCGCTTTCTCCGTTTCTCTCTTTCTCGCTGACATAACTGATAAAGAAAAGACTGACCAATAACAACACAAGTGGCACGCCTACGCTTGGCAGGCAGGTTCACGAAATGAGTCAGACGAGCAATGAGTAGTAATAGGAAAAAAGTGAAAGATCAGATGGAAGTACATGCAGCAGGACAGCGGAGAAATGAAAAAAAGAAGAGAGTGCATAGAACTCGAACAGAACGACACAAACGCAGAGTACAGAGAGGAACATGCTGTTGATGCCTCTTCTTCCTCTGAGGAGCACTCGAATAAATCACAAATGAGCGCATCGATGGGATAGAGAGTATACAGATAGAAGTGATACAGATAGGAAGAGAAGTGGAGAGAGAGAGAGTACATCATGAAAGATCAAACATTAGGAAATTAGAGCATGGCAAACGACATCAATTGGCAGCATGCCAGTGTACTTGGAATACTCTCACGATTTAGTCGTTGTATTGAGAGTGAAAGATGAAAATCGGGGTGGGTTTTTAAGTTCCGGCTTATAAAAAGTTCTGGGATGAGCGGGGGATTTTCCTTTCCCTTCATTTTTCATTCTTGCATTAATATTCTTAGCAACCGTTTTACCCTAAGCTTTTTCGAAGGGTCAAAGTTCATTGATGGCTTCTGACGGAATATGTGTACATACACTATCCCCCGTTCTCACTTCTGCCATAGGTGCAGTGTCGTTCTCGTACGGATTCCATAACTTCGACAAGTCTGTGCCATTATAACAATTAATATGAGTGAACACAATGCACTCTGTTCGATTTCATATATCGGGCGAATTCATTTCGAATATTCGTCAACAGTTGCGTGGAGGGAGATAACTACTGCATGGTGTTCGTACAGGAAATAGTTTGGTAGTTTACGAGATGAATGATAATTACAATCTTTGATATCTACTCCAAGGAATGTCCACATGTGGAGCTTTCCATGAGTATACGAATATGAAGGATGAGATGTTATACAGTTCTCCTAACAAAATGTTATTTTGTAGAAGCAACAATTGGTATGATATCCACTTGGCTACTTCAAAAAGATATATTGGGACCTAAGCTTTTAGACTCAGACTGATCATTCTGTGGAATTGTTATACAGTTCTCTTGCAGGCTTGTTTAAAATTTCCCATGCAGTTATCATTCATTGTTATCAATAGCCATTGATATAAATATGAGTGGATCCTGAATGCATTGAACTGTACAAAAATTAATTGGCATGATAAAGAGGGAGAAAAAGCTTTCCCGGCATACGCTTGTCAAGGAATGATAAACTACAGCAAGATTATTCAAATTTTGAAAGAGGATATGATTCGAAAAATAGTGGAAATTGAAGTGATAAAGTGTAGAGCATATAAATGTTTACCAGAAAACTCTTTGAATTTTTTCCCTTCTTCAAATTGAGTGATGCAAGAGCAATACTATAATGAGAGAAAAATCCTTTACAATATATTATTAGGTCTATTTATTTGTTAAAAAATTAGACTAAAGGTCAGTAAACGACTTTATGTCAGCCTTGCTTTCCGATGAGAACAATGAATGATCCGGTATAGTTTCCTGTAACGAGTAATCGTACGGAATTTTAAATCCACAGTATATTTTTTTACCATTTTTTACTTTGGTAAAAGATTTTATTATGCGAGAGGTAATTCCTGTACAGTATGTTTGGAATCAAATCTAAATGTAGGATTATCTGAATATTCAGTGCAGTAAATTAACTTAGCTCTGCTATGTAGGTTTTTGTTGCCAGGGACAGATAAATTTCCCATATTATTTTTCAGAAGGAAGGCCTAAGAAATTAGAAGTCTGTCAGCTTGTCCTTATCATTCTTTGCGTCTACCTTAAATAAGAATCGATTTAGAAAATGTGGAAGATGGATGGAAATATGAAAGTTGTCCATAGTTCATCAAGTTGGGATAAAAAAGTGGATTATGTCCGGAAATATTCTCTTATAGATGAAAAATATATTTACTACCTAATACAAGTAATATATTTATAGAGGATTTCAGTAAATTATTAACAAATTACCGTAGATATCATCTCTTGAGAACAAAAGTACTGAAAAGCGCTTTATAAAAAGGTTATTGCAAATATTTCTCTCAGAAAAGAGAGAAGTAAGGTGAACTGCAGTACTGCAGTGCACGCAACTTGAATTTGCACGCAAACCTGAATTTTTTGTGCTTGATTAGGATTCTATTATATTTCTTCTAATTTAGGCTTCAAATAAATTTTTGGTAATCATTCGGCACTTTTAGTGCAATGCATTTTTTTAAAGCTACATAAAAAACCGCAGGTTTTAAAAAATGCTTGCCAAATTTTGCAAAGTTGAGATTTACATTTCTAAATGATAGAAGAATTTAATATGAATGTTAAACAAAGATAGAGATTTTTTTGTTCAATCTAACTAAAATAATTTATAAATACATCCAAAATGCAGCCTAAGTTTTATCAAATAGGAATAAATTATCAATAATTTTTCATTTTACTTTTTCAATTTCTGAATATTATCAATTTATGCAACTTGCAGAGTAAAAAAAGGATGAAAATAGTTGTGTAAGTTATGAATAAAATTCCATTCACTTCAGAGAAAATAGTTAACAAATATAATTTAAATTATTTTCCATTTTGATAACAATGACCACTAACCCATAATATGAAATTTAAGTGTTTGAATTTTATTCATTCAAGTTACTAAACATAAAATAAACAAATTATAACTAAACAATCGACTTTTAGTGCTCTATTCTCAAATCTCTTTAAGTGCTATTTGATTAATAGAAATTTTGAAAGTTATGTTTTTCATTGCCTTAATAGTGAAATTATTTTGAATTAGACAAAATACTGTCAAATCATTTCTTATATTTTGTACTACCAAAAAACCATCATCTTACTGCATGAGAATATACACGCATAAAGCTTCCTCTGATAAGATCAATGTTATTAGATTTGAAATATGCGGAAATTTAGCTCACATTTTCCGTGTCACATAAAATGTGATAACAATGATTATTAACATGAAATCTTCTCTTTTTTTTTGATAACAATAACCATTGACCATTGATTATGTAAAATTGATTATAAGGAGTTTATGAAGGCTAAGGATTGATTGACCCTGTAGCAAATTTTATTTTACAGGTGAAAGAAGAGAGCAAATGAAATTTAGGGAAATCAGGAATTTCATTAATGAGCTTTCAAGAGTAATAAACTAGTTAATCAAGTCATTTCTGTACTGACAAAATTCGCTGGAACAGAAACGCATTCAACACTCATACAAACATAAGACCAAAGTTGAAATTAAAATGGGAATAGCGGAAAACTGGTATTTCCGCATTCCTTCTTTCAGTATGCATCTTCTCTCAATCATTCTCTTACCGTTTCTTTTCTCTCTCCCTATTTTCCTCTTTCTCTCTCTCCTTCTTTCTTTTGACTTTTCTTTTTATTTAAATATCAGTGATAGAAAGGAAAAGAAGTTTGAGGGAAAATTCTTCAGGAAGAATGAGACATTGAATGTGAAATTTTCATCAAACTTTCTAATATGTTAAATAATAAAAATAATGAACCAAAACAACTTCAAATGCTATCTGTCAAAATATAATTCAATCAAAAATTCAACGATGCAGAAATGCTATTGAATGAATTTATTATGGCAATAAATTTCTTTATAAAATTTTGCATAATTATTTAAACAATTATTGTAATAAATTTTTAATGAGAAAAATTATCTTAAATTCCTAATTTGAATATTTTTAATCGATCATATTTCATTTTGAAGATAAATACAGTAATATTGAAATTAGGGAACTTATTCAATGGCTTGCAGCAGGTATAGAATGAAATACTTTACACAAATCGTTAAAGATGCTATTTTAACCGCTCCGTTGAATGAATTATCATTATTTATTATCAGCCAAAGAGTTATGATAATTTCTGTTATATCATAGTTAGATTTTTCCAGCTGTTACTAAATGATAAGAGAATTTGGAAGTTTAATGCAATCAACATGACGATGATGATTGAATTGTTACTGAAATCAATATTTTTCTCTTTTAAACTTTCTAAAATCTGATCAGTTTCTTCAATATTCTTTGAGAAGAAATGATTTGAAATAATTTCAAATCTTTCAATGCTTATTAATTCTTGACAGTTTTAAAATTTCAAACTTTTAGCAAAATTATAATTCGTAAAGAAATTTATGTAAAAATTAAAGCATTTTAAAGAAGTGAAGGCACTTTTATGTGAGAGAATTTTATTGAAGCAAAAGGAAAACTTTGAAAATACTTGCAAGAAATCATTTTCTTAATCAATTTAAATAATATTGTTATGATAAAAAAATAATTGTTATAAATGGTTGGATAAGAGCTTCTGAAAGGTTCACCAACAAATTTCTATTTCCGAATAACTCAGGTAAACACTACTTTACCTTTTTCAGACAACTAAACTTGAACTTCATCTGCTAATAATAAAAAAGAACATTGGCAGAAAGGAATTTGAACAAATGAACATTGGAATGTCAAGAAGAGTTTATCAATTAACCATCTAATAAATTACGATTGATTGGAAAGTTGATTTGATCAAACAATTTTAGACGAGAATTATCAAAATTTGAAATTGCCTACCTTGCAGTTTTTTGTTTTCAAAATGAAACGAATATATATTACATATATATATATCATAATTTATACATATATATAAATAAAGAACATTCCTCTGATAAATGATGTCTGACTGATAATGTGACTGATAATGAAAAGTGTGTCGATTCCCGAAGGTTGCCAACGAAAGATCGAGAAATAAATTATTTGCTATATTATTTTGTCATGAG